CCATGGGCGTCGCTCTCCGGCTGGGGCCCTGACAGTACAACCTGACTGCTAATGCCCAGGCCTTCTCCAGCACTGTCCACCCCCACCCCGCCGCCCCCACTCAGAAAGAGATCAGAACCCAAAGGCTGACCGAGAGCTAAGGGTGCAGTGGCGGGCAGGACACCAGACCACCAGCCCAGGAGCTCCGCTCCTGAGCACAGAGGGGCTTCCCGTGAGGACACGGTCGCCAGATGTGCAGGGAGGTGCCAGGGCGCACACGCAGACAGCCCACAGGCTTGACGGGCAGACGGGACAGGAGGGCAACGATTAGAAAGCAGAGCATCCTTCAGCTGGGGGTGCTTTAAAGTAGGGAGTCTAAGACATTTGTTTTCAAACTGTCTGAAAACCTTTACAAACTTTCTTTTCCACAAGCTCTTCCCTGCCGTTCTTCTCTCCCGCGGGGCTCTTCCTCTTGGCGGCCTTGCCCTCCTCCTTTGCCAGCAGGGGCAGCGGGGCAGCTGGGGCACCTGGAAGGGAAGGCAGCCAGTCAGGCAGGACCCCAGCCCAGTGAGCACGGGCGCCCAGCAGAAAGGAGCGAGTGGTGGCGCCCCCCCCAATGGGACCCTAACCACAGCAAGAGCCCCGCCAGGACCCTGCCCGGAACTCTGGGCAGAGACGTGTGGCCATGTAAGCCCACAGCCTTCCTTAAGACACATACTGATGTGTTCTAGGCAAGATAAAAAAAAAAAATGTAGCAAGGGCCAAAAAGGCCCTGGGGCCTGTGGGTGGGTATCCCAGAGACGAGGAGGCTGCTGGTCCCATCCCACCTGCTGGCTCCACACTGGCCGGCGGGCAGAGCCATGGGGGTGGCGGAGGGACGAGGCATGCGTTTCAGAACAAGGAGTCTTGCTGCTCACAGCGGACCTGTGACTTCACAAGGCAAATTCGTCAACCTTCCATCACAGGGGGGTACTGTCACCTCTGGAACAGGTCCGTGAGGCCATCTGTCACAGCGCCTGGGCATCAAAGTGCCAACAAGCAGCCGTGGCTGCTACAGGAATGGCCCTAAATGGAGCTCAGCATCTGAGCTCAGAGCTGGCTCCTCGACCAGCCAACTCCGGGCCTGCAGAGCCAATGACTGTCAGGCCTCACCAGCAGCCTGGTGTCACGCACCCACTCTGAGCAAGTCCCTGGCACTCTCCAGGTTACTCCCACCTGTGCCTACATCCCCAGTAGGTCGGGGCAGTCCCTGTCTTTTTGTAAATTTCCCAAAGAGAGAATCCGAAGGGGTGCTGCTGACCGGCCTCCAGGGAGTAGGGGGGCCGGTCTATACTGGGACGCACAGGTGTGGCCCAGTGCACAGTCAACCCCAGTCACCGCCCTGTGCGCTGGGGTGACGGCATCTTCTCAAGCATCCAGTCAGATGGACGAGGCTATGTGCAAAAGGGCCAGCAGTTCACAGTGGGGCTGAGACAAAGCACTTCGCTGCTGAGCAAAACCTTGTCCTGTCGCCGGCCGAGGGAGAGCAATAGGGGCTTCCCGTCCTTCAGTGTGGAACAGGGCAGGCCTGCCCAGGTCAGCGCTCACAAAGCTGAGTGCACAGCTGTGCCTGGGAAGGTCCCGGGATCGGTGGTGACTGGAGACACCACCACTTCCTGTGTGCGATGACGGGGGAGACCAGCGGTCGGCGCTCTGCTCCATCACACAGAAGGGCTGACAACCGGGAGCTGAGGCCACGGGCCAGTGTCCCCCCAGGACATTCTCGGTGAGGTGCAGGGCGGCGGCACTGCATCCAGCCAGCCTGGCTTCAACGCTCTGTTCTCCTGTCCTGCTTCCCTCCTGCGTGTGCGTGCGCACGCTTCTCTAAAGCAGAGGGAGGTGGGGCCCTCACACGGAGAAGCCTCCCACCGGGGCTGCGTGAGTCATTCTCAGGCTGCAAGGGCAGCTCCAGGGACAGAGCAGAACTGCTCCAGGGAGGGGGCCCGAGGGAGCCCCGCCGTCTCCTGCAGAGCTGCTGGGGGGCGCAGACCCCACCACTGGGCCTCGAGTTTCAGAAGAGGCTCTGCACACGGTCTGTCTGTCAGGGTCTCCAGCTCGGCGGCCCTCGGCCTTCACCCGAGATGGAGATCCCTTGTAACGCCAGGCGGCTGGCTCCTCTCAAAGCTACCTTTTCCACGCTGCCACGCGCACCCAACACCGTTGAGACGCTTGGGCCTGCCAGGGTCAAAATGACGGGCTCGGAGATTCAGAGAAACATTAACAACTAGGCTCAGCGTAAATTAGGGGACTCCGTTCTCCAAGAAGGAAAAGGGGGAAACCCCCTCAAGGTGACAGAGTACCAAAGCTCCCCTGTCTGCTCCATCCAAGAGCCCCTGCTTCCCCTTAACACAGAGTAAAACCGAGGTGGAAGCTACGTGCGGTGGAAAGCTCTCTGTGCGTTCTCCACACACAGGCAGGTGCGGGAAAACGGAGACCCCAGAGAACAAGGCGCTGGCGACTGCCATCCTGCCCCCGCAGGCATCCCTGATAGCCTGGGGGTCTGCTACTCTGCCCCCACTCACTCACCTGTTTCGCCGCCGCTGCCAGCAGGTGGAAGGTCATCAAAGAGCAAAGGTCCCCCCGGCCCTGAAACACAGCAGAGCAGGCGGTCACACCGTGAAAGCTGCCGCCGGCACCGGTGTCAGCATCCACCCCACCAGGGCGCACCCGTCAGGCCGGTGCGGTCAAGTGGACACTCGTCAGCCCAGCGGCAGCGCCCGCTGCAGGCAATCAGCCTACTGCGCACTCAAGCCCTAGCGCTACAAAGGAACCAACGAGTCTGCCTGCGCGCTCGTTCGACTGGTGCAAACGGCCGAGGAGACGGCCCGCCCTGCTGCCTTGGCACTCCTCAGGGCTAGCGACTAGTGGATTTTTCTGCCTTACCTGGTGCCAGGGGCTCAAAACTTAAGAAGTCCAACACCTAAACCATCTGCGTGTTGAAACGGGGGAGAGGGAGACAGGTTGAGACCACGAGGACCCAGGAGGAGCAGAGAGGTAGACACACACCTGGGAGAGCCTGCAGACTGTACCTGAGTCAGCACTGCTGGCCGGTGGCAGGGCGTCGAAGAGCAGCGCTCCCTTCTGGGCGTCTTCTCCTGAAACACGGAAGCCACTCAGAGCACACACACAGGCAACCTACCGTCCAGGCCCCAGCACACCTGTGCTGGGCAGACACCGTAGGCACTGATGGCCACTGTCCACCAAGAGCAGCGCCCCACAGGGAAGCGGGGTGATGGGGCGCTCTGTGGAGAGGTCTTTCTTGATGTGATCTGTAAGCAATCTGCCCTCCCACTGGGCAACATCCACCTCACTGTCTACTGACATGAGGCCTTGCTACACAGCCCCCCCACCCCAGCATGCTCACTACAGCCCTGCTGGCTGCTTCCTTTCCGGCCCGACATGTATCTTTGGGGGTTGGTTGGCTGTTTATTCTGAGTCAAGTGATACTTTTATTATCAGAATCAACAAGCATCGTAACACCGACTTCCTTGAAAGAGGGCCCTAGTGGAAGTTGTGCGGATCCAGGGCAGGAGGGTCACGGGCCGAGCGGCCCACTCATACTCGGATCTGTTCCCTGTGCTGTGCACTGGACACTGAGCTGCAGTCACCTGTGTGCCTTGTGTCTGGCACAGAGGCCTGCTCCTCTCCCAGCCCTGGGTGGTCAGCACCGGAGGCTGTCAGAGCCAGGCAGCCTAGGCTCCAGCCAGAGCCCCAGGGAAAAGCCCACAGAGTTTGGGGACCTGCTATCCGCGGGTCTAGGAAAGGACACTTGCATTTTCAGCTGTGGGGGAAGCCTGTGGCCTGAACCCCTCTCTTCAGAGTTCCCCAGGCTTTAAACAATTCCTATTCAAATGACATTAACTGGGAACTGGAGTCGAGCAGGAGCCCTGGTGGTGCAGTAGTTACAAGTTGCGCTGCTAACCACAAGGCCAGCAGTTTGAAACCACCAGCACTCCGTGAGAGAAAGAGGAGGTATTCTACACCAGTAAAGAAGTGACCGTCTCAAACCCACAGGGGCAGCTCTACTCTGTCCTACAGGGTCACTGAATTGGAACCGACTCCATGCGTGGTTTGTGGTTTTTTAGTCTCAAACCGAGTGGGGGTGTGGAGGTGGCAGGCTCCTCGCGACAGCGGCAGGATGGCCTCAGTGGCAGGGTGCAGGGAGCTAGTGACTCTGGACAACAGCCCTAGCTGAGCCAGCAACCTGCCCTACCCAAAAAGCAGGCACCCGACACCCTCAGAGGGCCCACCTTCCATCGGTCCTACCCAACTGCCCCTCTTCCCATAAAGCCCACCACCACCAGTCTCTCCTCTCCAGCTGCCTCCCAGATTCTAGCTCACTGTTAAGGAGATGGAGGTGCCCTGACCCCAGAACTGGGGAGAAACAAAGGGTGACAGTGAAGCTGGCTGCCTCCCCCCTCGGGTCTCTCCCGTCTAGGGGGTCTCTCCCATCTGGGGCAAACAAGAGCAAAGAAAAGCAACAATGCATAGAAGCAATCGGTCCTAATGGACCACGTGGGTGTCGGCCTTCCACAACTCCGAGACTGAAGCACTAGATGGGGCCCAGCAACCACCCCCCACAGCTCTGAGAAGAATCCCATCAGAAGGCCCCAGAGTGTGTATGGGGGGACAGAACCCCGGGTCACTAAAATAAAGACCAAGCTTACTGATTGTAAACCCCCCCAAGGTATGACCAGCAGTGACCCTTCGGGCCTGATCTAACCTCAGCCCCACGGTAGGCACGTTTACAAGGAGAACGACGAGAAGGTGTGCACACCTCAGCACCGCCATCACCTGGAGACCAGAAGGGTAGCAGTTGGGCAAAGCGGCTAGGAAGGACAGATAAATGGGCAGGGGGAGGGTTGACTGAGTGACGTTACACTGTGAAGGCTGCAATCAGAGACGTGAAACAGATGTGCAAGAACTATGGATTTCTGCAACGGTGGCGGTCCGCTCAGCAAACCTTCACCAGGTGTGGGGGGAAGTCAGATCCTTGCTGCCAGACTGCTGTCTCATCCCACCACGGGGGTGGGCCTGCTCCCTGCTGCTGGAGACAATGGCCTACTTCTCTCTGAAGCTTGGGACCATTAGCTTGGTTCCTGTAGGAGGGGTTTGCACCCTACTGATAAGGGTTCCTATGGAGACCCAGAGACCAGTCCCTAGACCACCCTCTCATTACTGGGTACCCTATAGTGTAACCCCTCCCTGTGACGTATGTCTCTATCTGTAATTAGTGGGCTGGCATGCCCCCAAAAGTTATATAGGCATGGGTCAGCAATATAGGCGGGGACTTCTCGGACCCCTCGGACTCTGACCTCCCTGACTCTCTTCCCCCTCTCCCTTGTTCCTTTTCCCTCCTTCCCTTCCCCCTCTCTCCACGTGGACCACCAAGCTGAGGTGAGCAATGTTGCCATGTAACGTGTCTGACTGTATTACTGTAATATCTCTCATGCTCTCGATGACTTTAATATAATGCTTATATATCTCAACCGTACAATTGTGCATCACTGAACCCAGAAGTAGTATTACTGAATCGGAGTAGTAGTAATAAGAGTATTAGCGGTGGGGGCTGGCCCCCCACCTCCCCCAGCACCACTTTTTAAATTTAATACTACAACCAGGTACAGTCAGAGGGCCCAAGACGACCGTCCACATCAGCAGTCCACAGGAGACGCTGTAAGGACAAACAGCACGAGGAGATGTGGGAAACCGGGCCACATCCAAGAGGAGCCCCAACCAGGCTGGGTCGAACAGCGGAAACATCCCTGCCCACAAGAGAATCCAACAGGGCCGACCCTACAACCAGGCACATGCTGGACACCCACCCCCGTGGTGTCACCGTTTACACCACTGTCCCCTCAGTCCACACGACCATTCTGTGCTGTGAATGGGTTTCAGCTGGGACACGACGTGATACAGACAGCATCAAACAGAGCCGTCCCTGGTGGGAGGCTGCACACAGGGTTTCAGGTTCAACCTAACGGGTCATTCCATACCTTCGCCAGCCAGGGCCAAGGATGGCTGATGAAATGGCACCCCTGGCAGGCCGCTCCGCGCTCTCTAGGCACTTTTAACTTGCTTCACACAGTCATTCTCTGAGGAAGACAGAGTGATTATTTGTACTGACCTGTGTGGGAGCTGGGGGGCAGAGGAGGGAGGCATGGCGGGCAGTCGAGCCCCGGCAGGCAGGTTCCAGTGCCTGCACCCTCTCACAGGACCACCCCTCCCACTGCCAATGGCCCTACCCGGCTCACCTCACCCCCTCGACAGCCCCCACACTCCGTCTTAGCTCCAGAACACCTTTCCCATCCCCGGGGGCACAAATGTAGAAGAGTTCACATTGGATTCTTTAAAATAAACAAAACACCCAACACACTGGCCCACAGTCACCCTTCGCCTGGGACTGAACTTGGCCCCACGGTTCAACTTTCAGTGAAAAAGAACTTCTCCTTCACCGGGCCTTACGCTCAATTCTGGACAAACACTGGGCAGAGAGACCTTGACCACCTTTGGCAGAGGCCCCCAAGCTCTCATGTAATGAATCTAATCAGGGTAAAACAAGCCCAGAGGGGTTCGATCAAGTGAAACGTGGCCAAGAGGAAGTACAGAACCGAATGAAGGTGGGACATGATAGTGGGGCAGGAGGAAGGTAAAAGGAAATATAGGAAAGAACTAGGAGGCAAAAGACGTTGATAAAGGTTTAAGCATAGGCATGTATGTATGTAACGATATTAGCATATAACGATAGGGATACAGGTCTGTGTTAGTCCGGGTAGGCTAGAGAAACAAATCCATAGAAACTCATACGTGTTTAAGAGAGAGTTTTATAGAACGGGTAATTGTACATTAAGAACATCTCAACCCAGTCCAGTCCAAGCCCCGAAGTCCAGTATTAGTACATATTTCTGATACTAATCTATAAAATCCTCTAAGGATTCACAAAGCACATGCAATGACGCCGAATGCAGGAGGATAACAGTCCAGTGGATAGAAAGTCTTTGGGTCCAGTGGCATGTAAGCATCTCGGCGCTGGCAGGGGTCTCCACGTGGCTTCTCCGGCTTCAGCGGTCTGGTTGCATCAGGGTAGGTCCATGTGGCTTCTCCAGCTCAGGGCACTGGGGTAGTTCCATGTGTCTTGTCAGCTGCAATGTCTCCCAGGGAGTGAGCAGAGTGTCTTCCGCCTTCAAGGAGGACATTCAGGATTTCCCAGAATTCTCAGAAGAAGGCCATGCGCACACAAAAGCCTCGCTGCCTATGATCTGATTGACAGGCTAGACTCCACCCCTACACTCTTAATCCTCAAATTGACAAACGATCACATAACTACCACCAGGTCTATGTACATATATTTATAGGTAAAGTATTAAGGTAGCACACGGACACTGGGCCTCTACTCAAGTTCTCCTTCAACGCAAGTACACTTTGTTCCAATCCCCTGCCATTCTGTGATGCTCACCTTTCCACACGATCACTGAAGACGAAATGGGTGCCTAAGCAGATGTGGTGAAGAAGGCTGATGCTATTACAAGATACAGTGTCTGGGTCTTAAAGGCTTGAAGGTAAACAAGCGGCCATCTAGCAGGGAAGCAACAAAGCCCACATGGAAGCAGCACAGCAGCCCGTGTGATCACGAGGTGTCCATGGGATCAGGTACCAGGCAACAAAAGACACCAAACAACCATATTGATCCAAATGAGGGGCCGGAGTGGAGACCCAAAGCCCCTCTGTAGACAATTAGACAGCCCCTCACAAAAGGGTCCCAAGGAAGGGACGAGCCAGCCAGGGTGCAGTTTAGCACTGAGGAAACCCACAACATTCCTCTAGTTCTTCAATGCCTCCTCTCGCCAACTATCATGACCCCAGTTCTACCTTACAAATCCGGCTAGACCAGAGCAGGTACACTGGTGCAGATAAGCACTCTCGCTTGACACACAGAACCCAGGAGAGATAACCCTCAGGTCCAATTATGAGACTAGCCATACCATGAGGGTACGGGAAGGTAGGCCAGACGGGAGAAAGGAGGAGGAACTGATCGCAATCGATCAATGTACAACCACCACCCCAGGGGGACAAACGACAGGAACGTGGGTGGAGAGGGACAGCGGACGGTGTAAGCTATGAAAATAAAAATAATTTGCAAATTATCAAGGGTTCATGAGGGTGGGAGGGAAAAAAGAGTAGCTGATACCAGGGCTCAAGCAGAAAGAAAATGTTTTGGAAATGATGATGGCAACATGTGTACTAATGTGCTTGATGCAACTAATGCATGGGTTGTTATAAGAGCTTTAAGAGGCCCCAATAAGATGATTTATTAAAATAAAATTAAAGAGTGAAATAAGACTCAAGAAGTTTCTCTCATAATTAATCTCACATGGGTTTCTGACTTGTCAGCCACATTCTGAAGTGAAGTCCAGTGGGCATTGTGAGGGGCTTCAAAAAGTCTGTGGGAAATAACCACGAGTAAAGACGGCGGCTTCCCCACCAACTCTCTCCCAAGTCTCCTGGTGAACGATGGGGACGTGCTCCTGGGCGACCCCCGAGTGGCTCAAACTCAGGTTCCCTAAAGGTCACCATGTACCACCAAGCAACGAAAAGACCTCCCACCTGTGCCCCTGTTGGTCTTGAGATCTGAGCCATCGTCTCAACTACAGAACACAGAGACGTGGCTCTACACCCACGGGCTAAAACAAAAGTCCCGCGCGAGCACCTGTGCTTTCCAGCCAGACCAGCAGTTCCCAACCTGTGGGTCACAACCCCTTTGGGGGTCGAACGACCCTCTCACAGGGTCGCCTAGGACCATCGGAAAACGCGTATTTCTGATGGGCTCAGGAACCGAGACACCGCTCCTCTGTCTGTCTCCAGGTGGGTCCACCCACATACAGTACCCGGCATGAAGACTGTTACCCACAAGACACCAAGCTTCAAGACAAAATTTCATTTATTTGTCATTAGAAATAATCATTTCACAATAGACAATGACATTGTTTTGTGATGAATCACTATGCTTTAATTATGCCCAATTTGTAACAATGAAAATACACCCTGCACATCAGATATTTACATGACGATTCACAACAGTAGTAAAATTACATTATGAAGTAGCAACGAAAATAATTTTATGATTGGGGTCACCACCACATGAGGAACTAACTGTATTAGAGGGTCGCGGTGTTAGGAAGGCTGAGAACCAGTGCTAGACAGTCCTCTATACAACCTTCCACACACAAACTGCTGGAGAAGGTGCCCCACAGGAGGGCCCCAGGCCCCAGTCATTCTTTCCAGAGGGTTCCAGAAGGCGGCAGCCTAGCACCTGAGTCTGGGTCCCTGGTGTGGGGCATTCAGGCTGCTTCCAGGTCTTCACGTGGCAATACCACGGCCCTCCACGGAAGCCACCAGAGTATCCACGGGAGAAGAGGTGTGGCCACAGGCTCCATCAGGACCACGGGCCAGGGAGGCCTCTGAGCACTTCCTGGGTCACAAGGCGGTGTGCGTGGACTGGACGCTGCCCGGCGTGCCCCTCAGCACCCTGACAGTGCACAGGGGCTTCAAGAGTCCCTGGAAACATCCGTTATCTTTTCATCCCATTTTCCCAGGAACGATTTGAAGCTCCCTCGGATATCCTGACTTCTGTCTCTGAGGCAGGGCCATCTGTCCATCTGCACTCTGAGGGTCAACCTCCCTGACTTGGCCTGCTGCCACTTATCCTTCATGAGCAGAGCCTACTCCTTCTCGGGACACCCAGTCGGACAAATGCTGCTCACTCTGTCGTTTGCAACGTGGTGTCCTCTGTCTGCAAGAAGCTGTGACCCTCCCCCACTTCCCGCGCCTGCATCTCATCCACTTCCATTTTACTCTGGCTTTTCTTCTTGCTCACACCTAAGTTTCCTTTAACCTTAATCTGATGCTTACAACTCTAATGTTTTCAAAGCAGTATTTTTAAGGATATTTCGGCTTTAGGTAAACAATAGCCTTTGCACTCTCATTTTGCTATGAACTTTTGAAACCCCTCTTGAACATTTTTTAAACTTCACTCACTCAAAATTCAAAGCCCTACCTAAATCAGAAGCGGGGAAATGGTAGCAGAGCCTAAACTGTGAACACCTGGTTTGCAAGCATGGCTGATAGCGGGAGCCCAAATCTATCTGCAGGGTCCCCACGAGGATAAAGCCTCAGGTGAATCCCACCCACCCCACCCCCACCCCAGGAACATTGTCCAGGGATGTGAACGGCCTCGCGAGCAGACATAGACCACTACAGAGTCAATTATGACAGACGTGGTTAGGTTAACATGTCGAACCTTATTTGGACTCCCCTTTGGCCCATCTTAAAGTTTTCATCTTTCAATTGCAGTTTCTCTGCATTCTGTTCGGTCATGGTCACTGGGGTCGTGCTTGTTTGCCTCCCGGTTGTCTCTGGCATCACTTCCTGCCAGCGCAGTGCAGGACAGGTAGATGCATAGAATAGAACAGAGACAGACAGTCATTGGATTGATAGTTGCCCAGTGGCATGGCAGGGGAGGATGGGTGCTACGAATGGGGGAGAAAAGAGTCCTGAAATTGATTGTGAGGGTGACTGAACAATTAAGTTGTATATGCGAGGTATATGCAAATAAAACTATTTTTTTTAAAGATTCAAATGGTACTGGGATGAAAACCAATTGTGCTCACCTGCAAACAGCTAATGCACGGCACACTTTTCTACATTTTTCCTGAGAATAAGGGGGGCGGGGCCGAGAACCCAAGATGTGATTGTAAAAACACGACAGAACTGGAAGGGGACAAAATGCCCTTGAGCTGGCCGAGCAGGCCGCCTCCTGCCTCCGCACACGCCCACCAGGGTCGCACTGAGCCTCCCCTCAAATCCACCGCTCCTGTGAGGGGAGCTGCACCGTGTGCCCTGCACCACATCTAGCCCATGACTTCACCCTTTGGGGGGACCCGAGGTGGCACCACTCCGTTTTCAGATCAGGAATGGAAGATGCAGCTCCGGAGAGCACCACAGGCTTAGCTGCCCCTCAGTCCGCTGGGCCCCGACCTCTCCCGCAGGCTGTCGCTGAGTTCTCCATCCCCAGGATGGGCTCCGTGCACGTGCACCAGCAAAACTGCCCGGCTTCCCAAGAATGGGGCATCAGACTCTGTCCTCGGCCAAATGATTTCTTTTCTTTTTCAACCTGTTACATTTCATCTCATCGGTTTTGGCTCACCACCCATTAGGTTAACTTTGGGCTCTGATCCTGCCAGCTGGGATCAAGAAAACACGCCTTCTTTGTTGTAGAGGTGGCTGTAAAAGATACTCAGCGGCCACGGTTTGTGACTGCCTGTGCCCCCCAGCATCAAGCACCCACCTTGGCGTCCTGACATTACAGCCAAGGCTGGAAGGTCAACTCCTCCCTGAGGCCCCTCAGAAGAGAGGTGTGGCAATCTACGTGTGACAAATCCCAGCAAACCCTGCACACATCCTGACACAGAGGGTCTGCCACGAGAGGGTGTCCACTTGGCAGCGGCTGCTGTTTGCTGGAACCATCTCAAAGGAACCTTCCATGAGCTGACCCGAATTAATGCAAAACAACAAAAATAAAAACAGGTGGCTGGCAGGCACATTTCGGAAGCCAAAATCTATTCCCAACATGCCGCCCACTGCCACGGCTGGTTCTGACTCAGAGGCCCTCGGGGACACAACTGCCCCATAGGGTTTCCCAAGACCCACCATCTTCAGGGAGGCGACAGTCACATCTTTCTCCCTCATGGTGGCTGGAGGGGTCAAACTGCCCTCCTTTTGGTCAAACATTTACCCAATGCCACCAGGACACCTATCCAAAGCACCCAACTGCCATCAAGTCACTTCTGACTCACCGGGCAGAGAAGAACAGGCCCTGGGCGTTCCAAAGCGGCAAATCTTTACAGGCACAGAGCTTCAACTTTCTCCTGAGGAGCCACTGGTGGATTTGAACCGCTAATCCTGCCGTTAGCCGCCAGAGTCCACTAGACTACTAGGGCTCCTTAATCATCTCTGTATTCTCCGGCAGCAGTCGTTCCCCACACAGATCACCTGGAGGATTCAAAACACACCAACTCCCCGTGTCCAAACTATAGAGCCCGGGTGAGTGTGTGCGTGCACGGCCTATGTTCTCAACAACCAAAAGTCAATTATTTTACACACACACACTCATGATCAGAGTCAGCGGGCTGGGGTGAGCCTGGTGCCCCGAGTGTGCTTGTGAACTTGTCCAAGCTTCAGCTCTGGGTTTGGAAAGCCACCCCCAAGCCCCCACTACAGCACCCAACTGCAAGTCTGGCTCACCCAAACAGGCACACACCTTGGCTACAGCTGGAAGTGCCATGGTGGTGCCAGGGTTAAGGCAGTATGGTGCAGAATGGGAGGCTGGTGGCTCTGTGCCCCAACACGCTCCTGTACACGTGCACTCTCGGAAACAACCCAGCTCGATGCTGCCCTTGATGGGCAGGGGCAGCTTGGTTTGGTGGGGCGGTGATTAAACCATTCTGCCATTTGCTCCTAGAGAGAAAAATGACCAGTCCCCCCTCCCCACCTCCTGAAAGATTTACACCTACGGGGCAGTTCTACTCAGTCGTACAGGATCGCTGAGTGCACCACACCACTAATAATCATTCCATCATGTCATCTGAGGGGTGCTGCTAATCAGAAGGTCGGTAGTTCAAGCCCTACCAGGTGCTTCAAGGAGAACGAGGCAGAGGCTGCTCCCCTGAAGGTAAGACAGCCTCAGAGCTCCAACAAGCCCACCCCACCATTCGTTCCTGGAATGGCCATGAGTTGGAACTGACGTTGTACTTGTCGACCCTGGAGGGACTGCAAGCACAGGAGTCACAGCAGTGAGGGGCTTCACACCAAGCAAATCTCACTATGCGCTGAGGGCGAGGTCAACAGCCAGAATGCCTATCCGTGGGCGCATGGATAAGCTATCTTTGGGGTGTCTCTCCACCCAATGGAATACTAACTCAACTGCCGTCGAGGCGATCCGATCCGGGCTCGGAGGGACCCAGGGGAAGGGGGAACCGTGCAGGGAGCGAACCCTCGCCCGTGCCCCGCCGGCGGCCGGGGGCTCCGAGCGCTGCCGCGGTAGCAGGCCGGCACCAGCCGCCCGCGGGCCCCACCCGGACACCGCGCATGGCCCGAGGACGCCCACTGCGAAGGCCCCCGCGGCGCCCAGGCCCTGGAGACCACGCTGCTGCGTGACGTTGGTCAGTCGCAAAAGCGCACACCCTGTCTGCGCCGAGGCTACCAAGGCACCTCCCCGGCGCGTCGGGGCCCCCGGGTGC